TGATAGTTTCAATTAAAGATACTCAATAAGTTTTTGGTGTTGATTGTTAACGCAGTCAAACTTTGCTTTAGAGCGCGAAAGTAATCATTTTTAGTAGTTTGTACTTTGTGTGTGTGTGTGTGTGTGTGTGTGTGTGTGTGTGTGTGTGTGTGTGTGTGTGTGTGTGTGTGTGTGTGTGTGTGTGTGTGTGTGTGTGTGTGTGTGTGTGTGTGTGTGTGTGTGTGTGTGTGTGTGTGTGTGTGTGTGTGTGTGTGTGTGTGTGTGTGTGTGTGTGTGTGTGTGTGTGTCTTTTAAAGTACCATTTTGTAGAGCTAGCTTCAACTTAGATTTGCAGGATGGAGCAAATCGCCGATCCCTTTTTCTTACTGTGGGATTATGGTAAACGCTTTTGGCTTATAGCGTTATTATAAGTGCTGTCATGCTTCAAAGAAAGTTTCCAGATCTAAAAAGTGGGATACCAGGAACTTTACGCGCGCTGAATTTACTGCTCAACTTTCTGAACGTTTGCAAAGCTTTTCAAACGTTGTGATCACAATTTTAGGGAGCACTGTCAAGATAGCTGTTACGGTTTACTTGGCATAAATTATGAAGAAAGCATCGCGATCAAACGCAAAGTTCATATTGGGCTTTAGCGACTCTAATTAGCCCACTCTAAGAGCTTCCAGATTGTTTGTTTGCTTTGTAAGGCGAAATAGGGTCCTAAATGCTGAAAAATTTTCTTGAAGTTTTTTTCGTAATCCTACAATAATGAAGAAAGGTCGTTGATCTGCTCCATACTGTAAATCGAAATCGGAGCTAATTCCACGATATGGTACCTGGAGGTAGACAAAAGACCTCTAGGGAAGAGATTTGTCAAGATACGAATAGTGCATACATACTTCTGGAACACCCTGTATAGCTTTGACTCACTGAGCACCCTCAGTGATGTCCGTCACAGCCGTGCGACTACTAACTCCACAATGGACTGAAGGTTGATGACTTCCCCTTCAGACTGTTTGCAGTACGTTGTACCTAGTCAAGGTCTGAACGCCGCAAGTTAGATAATGCGTGTGGTCGTATAGTTTGACGAATACAAAACTGCAATCCCTTTCAGGCCCCCGAAGAAGACGATACTTATCGAAACCTTAGGCAATAAAGGTCTACCATAAAAACTTTTCTGACACAAAATCAAAATCACAAAGTCAACTAATGCCGAGGTTCAAAGATCAGAGCACATAGAAATCCGGTGAATCATATCCAGCGTAACAAACTGTAGAAATGTGTACTTCTGACTGACGCAAATGTAGTCAAACTAAAGAAGGTAAGGAGACATAGGAAAAATTAATGAAAATGGTTAGGTAACGTTCATTGTTTGACCAACATACAAAGGCCGAAAAATAATTTGCTTCAAAGAAGATTCGCATAGAGCGTCCATCTTATTCATAACACCTTATTTCCGGCTTATTTTCCGCCAGCTATTCTGTTAAGATAAAATTAACAACTTCTTCTTTCATTTTCACTATTTTTATCGCTGATTCTTACTAGAAAAGCAATATTTACTGAAAGTTAGAGAATCGCTTCTCATTTTAGTTCATCATGTATCTGGGGTTAATTTTCACGGTGATTCATAATACAATATACATTTGCGAGGCCACTATCAGCCCTGACATTGAGCACTTTCGGTGTTCTTATTGAAGCTTCTTGCCAAAGTGTTTATTCCTTCCTGTCATACGTGAAAACTTATTTGTGCCCTCGATGATTTACGGTCAAAGGTTGCAAGTCTTTTATTAGTTCACGTGAAACTTATTACTGTTTGACAGCTAGAGCTACAGCTGAAAATCCACTCATTTCTATACTTGAATCGGAGTTGAAGTCCACCAACAGCTCATTCATGCTTGAAGTGAATGTCTTGCCAGCTGCTATCTGTCCACTGAGCCTGAAAACAGAATTTGGAGTTGTCATTGTTGGAATGAGTAAAGTCAGTATCTGAACAAATTCTAGATGCTTGAGTTCTAGGCGGATAATGATCGGTGGGACCTGAGATGTCTGCCTAAGCGGATCACACCACAAACTGAGAAATCCATCTATGACTTCTTCGTCTATTACCATACCTCTGCATGCGGGCCAGTAAGCATTTGTGGTTGTGGACTCAAAGTTGGCCATTTTGGATTTTTCGTCGCAAATGAATCGCAGGAGACAAAGGCTTGGTTGGGTTCCTTTAAAGGCAGCGTCCCACCAGAATGGGGGGAACTGGCTCTGGTAGTAATTTATTAGTAGACCCCCTAATAACAACAGAATTTTGCAGCGCGAAAGGAGGCACGATCTACAAATCCCCCCCCCCCCCAAATGGCCCGGATCTTGCGGTAGGCGAGACGAGATGCATCAAGGTAGAGACGCAGAGTGGTTGCGAGACCTTGCGCTCATGACTTGTGTGGTATGCTGCTCTGGCCTTGCAGTTCGAAATCGCTGTGCGGGTGGCATTCGGGCCTACCGAATTCGGTAGCCCCCTTTTTTGACCGAACTGTAGTCATCGCTTAGGTAGCGGATCTACTTTAACATCGCCGCAGAAACCCGGCATCCATCTTTTCGCCGGGACGCTGCCTCTAAGTACCATTCACATGAGACAGTTACAAGAAGTCCAGCTATGTTCCTGTCTTGAAGCTTATTTCAAGGATGCAACATCTTACTTGTCTAATAAAACATAGTATGGTGTGAATAAAGACATATCATAGTCGTAAACTTCAATGATATCGCAGCATTGCTCGGTGTCTATCTCTCCAAAAGTCAAACGTATCCTGAATAAGACTTTCCTAAGTTACCCAAGGTGACCGTACTAACTTGCCTGTGCTTAGTATCGACTCTCAGTTGATAACGACATTGCGTTGAAGCTGGGTACTTTCTTGGATAATTCGGGCTTGTGATCTAAGGAATCATATGTGAATTCTTCATCATTCATAAACAGGGGACTCTTACATTGGTAGGTACAGCAGAATTTTGGTTGCAACCACTAGGGTTGGTTGGTGACGGCGTGATGGTGACCATGGGCGAAGTCGTTGTCTCTAAAACTACTTCATCTCAGTTTTTGATCAGTTTGCGAGGTTATTGGCACACCTTTTGTCAATTGTCTATTACTTTTACATATTGGGTTGTTTCAAAAGTTATACCCGTTTTCGAAATTCGAGTTTAGATCGACATAACTCTTTTCGATTTTGATATATGCGACTGCAGTAAACTGGTTTACAATCTACAAATCTTTGGATATTCTACGCATGTTAGGAAAGTATTGCACGACAACAGGTAGGATTTTTTAGCCGAAAATCGAAAACCGTCTCCACTTCCTCCACTTTGCTAACCCATAACTGTAGATTTGCACGAGCACTGCTCATTGTGTAACCAGTAGTCGGCTGAGCAGCAATGCACCATAAATTTTACTAAATTCTTTCACAAAAAATTTTTGAAGAAAAATCCGAAAAGACCCACTAATTTTGCTCTTTCTGAGGTGGCAGAAAATGCACATTCTTGAAATTTTTGATTTTCTTCGCATTTGAATCAAAGAAATTTCGGTACTTTTCCGTTATCCGGACCCATTTTTTTCAAAAGGCTCTCATAAAACACGCTATTTAGTTTAAGAACAATTTTTCATAGATTCTACGAGGACTGCCTTCCTGCAACATGTCAGAAAAGAAATTGACGCTTTTTGGTCCAATATGACATGTTTTCAAAACCATTTCCGGTGAGATAAAAACAGCGTTTGTGATCACTTAAAAGCTGTTTAACTGTTTTCTACAAGAGCAAAACAATTAGAAGTTTACATTGCATTTATATTATTTAACAATTATATTAGAACATCTAACTGATTCCAGCAACGGTTCAGAAATGTCCTTCTTTTTCAACTCTGTCCACCATGCGACTTTAGACAGGAAAAACTATAGATAAGAGCCTGAGGTACCTCGCTACTGCTTGATTTGCCGCTTAGATGATGGAAATCTGTAGCGATTGTCTATTCTGGGCAAGTTCATTCTGTTCATTAGTGACAGTACAACGTTATTATTATGATAATGTTTATTTTTGAAGTTGTTTAATCAAAAATGGGGTCATTATTGATTGAGAGTCAGATGAACTTACGTCAATTGTCATCAATACAAACTCTTGATAAAACCTGCTCTATATGCATATGACATGTCAAATTTTTTTGACACGTGGCAGAAGGTTGATACTACTCTCTGTGAAGTCGGCACCAAATATGGTTCAAGGAAAAAAGCAGTATCCTTTCTTGAACAAATGGGTCCAAATAACGGAAAAGTACCGAAATTTCTTCTATTATTAATTATCTAGGTCTAATCTTGCTATGTAGAGCGAAAGTTCCGCGATAGCAATATGTTTACGATTTTTATGCGACTCAAAAGGACCATAACGAGAGGTCATGTTCATGCTGAGAATTTACAGGGGTTCATTTTTTTTTTCAAAAACATAACTTGATAACCAGTTCTTACTCCAAGATTCCAGCAAACATCACATATGTTAGAAAAAAATTTTCTATTTTGAATGTAGATTTCATGCCAGCAGAGCAAAGACGAAATTTTTCACATTTGTTTTGCTGTATTTCAAGGTGTGGAAAACCACAGAATGAACAAAGCCTGTGAAAACGAAGAGATGCATGAAAAATTAGATTAAAGGGCTTTCGAATGGTATAAGCAATGATTGTAAAAAATGGTTTCTTCATCCAGAATCGGCAGTTCAAAAGAGGTACAAAACGGGTAGAACTTTTGAAACAACCCAATACTTACACAGAAGAATTTGCATTATGGTTCATAGTAGTCGTTTGCTGCAGTGTGGTAACACAACAGCTGCCATAAGCGCAATGCGTTTACTTGTACTAGAGCATTTTAAAAAAAAGCAACGTGCTGATAAAGCGACCATTTTTTTTCTTCGAAGTAATACGACCAGTAACACGTTTCGAGAAAAATGTGAAGACTGTCCTTTTACTTTCTCGATTACGCTTAAAAAGCTTTGAAGCAGCATTAAAAGGTGTCCCTGCGCCGAGTGCCAGCCCCGTTCCAGCTCTGCTCCATATTGATCGGCGTTCTTTCACGGCGCTGTAACGGCGCTGGCACGGGCACTCTGAAAACAGCCTGAGGCATTATGGCAGTATTTTGACTACCCAACACCGTTCTCTTTTGACTTTCAATTATCAAAACATCTGTGGCATATGTTTGTCAACATTGTTGTAAATTTACCCAGCTTTCGTGACTAACCATTCTCCTTTGGAGAAAAATTCGCCTCCCATCTGTTGATACCAACAGCATCATTACCAGCTACAAAGACCATCTTCATCACATTTGATGTTGATGTGAAATATTGAGAAGATGGAACATTTGTTGTTATACTGTAAAATGGATTTGGTAAAATTCTTGAAGAATAATTCGACTTTTTTTGCTCACTTCAAAAATGGTGTGGAATCAGTGATCGAGTTAAATAGTTCGATGCTGCTACCTTGGCTGAGCTGGAGATTAACAAAGTGGAGCTGTACTACTTCTCCTTGTTCGATTGTGAGAATATAATAACATGCTTTGGAGTTACTGTAGGAGTTCGGAAAACCAGGCGAGTAAAACTGGAATTTGCCAGTTTGATAACTTATTTTTAGTCTAATTATGTGGTTTACGGTTCCGTTCTGATCCATGAAATAAGGGGAATCGCAGGTTGAAGGAGCTAGGGTCGCAGGTGTTGTTGCACCAGGAGTTGTAGACTCATAGCACTCACTTTCTGAAAAGAAAATTTGGAAATATTTTATAAGAGAGTGCAGTGCACGCAGTCAACCGTCACAAACCAAACCATGTAATATACCACAATTCGTACCAGTTGCCCGCGCAGACAGACCCCGACCACATAATAGTTCACATACCTCTTTTGCAGATAAATGGTAATCGCTGTGCACAGGAGACGGATATCCATTTTCCGCGAGGGATCACTTCATCTACAGCTGACAGTGCCATACAGTCGCCAATGGTTGAGCTGCTGTATCCTGAAGACATTTATGGCGCGGTGAGATGACAGAATATTTTAGAGAAGGCGTGATGGGAAGAGTGAGGATGATTGATTGTGATTGGTGATGATTGGTGAAGTGATTGCACAAAACTGATAGCAACAGCTGAGCGAGAGCCCTCTCCCAGACGAAATTTTTCGGCGAATTTTAGCGAAGACCTGCATGAGATATAAATGATGCTAGCATTTGTTAACAATGACAAATTTCACCTACATAGAGGTTCAAACTGGACCATATTTTTGCAGCTTCAATAATGCAAGCTTGCAAACAATTTAAAGAGCTACACTGAAACCTTTTTAAGTTTTGACGGGGTCTTGTTGTCTCCGTTCCGTCGCAAGAATTTTTTTCTCCCTTACTTTTTTGAAAGGAAATGCGAAGGGTGACGTGGATAGGGTTATGGAAGGCAGATTCGTTAAAGTATTGTTCTTAAGTTAATCTCAAAACAAACTCACCTATGTTGTTGTAGTCGAAAGTGGTATTATCCGACCAAACAAAAGTTTTGCCGCTTGCCTGCAACCCAACTCGAACATAATTCACATTGCCAGTGTATGTATCCAAAATCATTTGATTTTCCTGTGAACAATTCTCTTTTTCCCCAAAATCCACAAGATACAAAAGGCACTCACATCTGCACTATGGATAGATACAAGGTGCCCGCATTCGTTTTGACACTGGGATTCTGCATCATTCTGCGACAGAGGTTGATTGTAGGCCTTGTAGCAATAACCGCCATAGTTGTCGTAATCACCACAGGATGCTATAAAGTGAGGTGACTTCTTACAGCTTTGATGAGGCCTTGATCGTCCGATATGATAGACAATAAGAAAAAAACTTGGCTTTCAAACTGTGACTAGAAATTCCTCGAGGGAATATGGCAACGATATAAGTTGATTAGGAAAAAATTCAAAAAGTGATTGTTCGATTCTTGGATGCCAAAATTGCCTAAACGTCTATTAAAATTCAAACTCATTTTTTTTGGTTTTATGACCTACTCTTCAGTAGAAGAAGATAGTGATTGGAGAATAGTTATGAATTTCGTTTTATTCAAATCCACTTATTCATTTTGTTCCATATTGATCTTCTAAAATGCACTATAAATTACTACTTTTGGCATCTTATATATAAAGCTGAATGTCTGTTTGTCTGTCTGTCTGTCTGTTTGTATGTCTGTATGTACGTATGTTCCGAATAGAAAATTCCATTTCTGAACCGATCCGGACCAAACTTGGCACACTTACGCTACGGGCCCCGGCGGGTGTCATAGGCTACTTTTCGTCATCGATCGATATCGATTTTATCGATTTTTATCGATTTTTTGCTGAGTTCACCTACGGGGCTGGGAGTTGGCACAGGGGGTAATCGAGCATGGGGATTCCGAATACAATATTGGTTTTCAGGATTATCGATTACTTTTATCGATTTTATCGATTTTTTTGCAAAGTTTGAGCTACGGGGCTGGGAGTTGGCACAAGGGGGTAATCGAGCATGCTGATCATCCCCAAGGGGGGTGATCAGCATGCTCGATTACACCCCTGTGCCAAATTCCAGCCCCCTAGCTCAAATTTTCAAAAAATCGATAAAATCGATAAAAGTGATGGACGATCTTGAAAACTAATATTGTATTCGTAATCTGCATGCTCGATTACCCCCCCTGTGCAAACTCCCAGCCCCGCAGGTCAAACTTTACAAAAAAAAATCGATAAAAATCAATAAAAGTAATCGATAATTTTGAAAACCAATATTGTATTCGTAATCTGCACGCTCGATTACCCCCCCCCCCCTGTGCAAACTCCCAGCCCCGCAGGTCAAACTTTACAAAAAAAATCGATAAAATCGATAAAAGTAATCGATGATCCTGAAAACCAATATTGTATTCGGAATCCCCATGCTCGATTACCCCCCTGTGCCAACTCCTAGCCCTGTAGGTGAACTCTGCAAAAAAATCGATAAAAATCGGTAAAATCGACATTGATCGATAACGAAAAGTGGACTGTGACACCCGCCGGGGCCCGAAGTGTATGTGTGCCAAGTTTGATCCGGATACGGCGGAGCCGGGTAAGCCAGCTAGTACCTAATAAAGAGCATATTGTGTAAATTGATTAATTTGTTTGAGCATATTTCAAATGATTCTTTTCTCGACTTTTCGGTGTAAGAATTGTGAATCAACAGAATGATGCACAACGGCGCCTCGTCAAAAAAAAACCTGGGGGCATTGTAAAAACAATATAACTTTCCTTTCACCATCGCATCATGCTATTTCCAATCTGACTTTTTCGAAATAAAAAATTACTTATAACAGATTGTTGAAGCGATTCCAGTGATTGCGCTAGCCTAATATCTGTTGCTAATGTCACACAAACACCCTCTCTTCCCACTCCATGATGGAGTGATAAATTTTGAGATTCTTCATGGAGAACAAATACATTCACAAAATTTTTGGCTCATCTATTTGTAATCCAAATCAGCTTTGCAGACCTACTTTTCTTAAATCTTATGGCAGGGCACAAAGACTGACAAATTCCCAAAATTTTTAGAGCATGGTTTACTCCCGTTTTTCAATTTTTAAAAACCTTATTGCCCCCTCTATCTAGGGACAGGGACAAATAATCTTTGAAATGATGGACGAGCTTGTGATGCGATCGCCATCGATAGGTGTATGATAAGCCCAACAATGACTCATTTCTTACTACGGGTCAGTAACCTCCTACCGTATACCTATCGTGACCGAACAAACAGAAACGGTGGGCAATAGCAAAAACTTCCTTGTCAATCCATATGGATCTTTTGATGTGGAAATCCACTTCATATTGTGTTACAGCAATTTTATATATAAAGCTGAATTTCTGTATGTATGTACTATGTTCCAAATAGGAAGTTCCACTTCTAAAACGATCCGGACCGAGCTGGCACACATACACTTTGGGGCTAGGGGAGGGTTTCATAGGATACTTTCGTTATTAATTTACTTATTTTCAAAGATTTTTTGCAAATTTCCACCAACGGGGCTGGAAGTTGCCATAGGCGAATAAGTGAGCATGCTGTTTACGACCCCAATATTAGTTTTCATGACTATCGATTACTTTACTGATTTTCTTGATTTATGCAAAATTTGAGCTATGTACGGTGCGGGGAGTTGGCACAAGGGTGTGGGGGTAAGTGGGCATTCTGCTCACGAAAACAAACGGGGATAGGAAATTGGAGAAGTGGGCACAGGGAAAGGTTGTACAAGTATAGCGATGGGACCTTATCATATTATGTTATCCCAAAAGTAAACTCCTTTTTTGAATATTTCAAGCGGTTCTTGTCGATAGAGCAGATCAAGCTGCACAAAACTATCACCAAGGGTCCACCCAACTCTCATTCCGTGTAAAGTTTGTAGCCAAAATTGAAAAACCTTTTGTTACCTGATTGGATTTTTGCGAGGAAAAACCCTACGGACTTCAAACTTGGTCGTTATACAGTAGGTGCATAATAGTACTAAAGTGTGCCTTTACTGGTTTTTTCGGTGCATAGAAGGCGAGATATTGAAGATAGTCAAAAAATGGTAAACTCCGCCCCAAGCCCCTCCCACATATGTCATTGTATGCTACAAGCCTTTGTTATTATTATCTCAAAATTTTACCCGTATATGTTCTCTTATGATCGAAAACTGCCAAGTTTCTCACAAAAAAGCCGAAAAAAGCAGCATTTTGGCATTTTCGGACCACCTTTATTTCACACTTCTGAACTCCGGAAAAAATCCACCAATTACACTTTTGGGATGTGTGTCTATAATGTGTAGACCAAGTCGGAAGTGTGTAAGAATTTTTTTGGAGGAAATCCGATTTTAGGGTAGCTGAAAATATTGATTTTTGGCTCTAAATTTTGCCTGGATTACAACTTAGTTGGATCGTTGAAGTTCTTTGTAGAGCTTGATCCGCCCTTCGAGTGGTACACTAAACCTGTTGAGGAAACGAAAAGAGCTCGATTTATTTGAAAATGGAGTTTACCTTTGGGACAGCCTAAGTCGGGTACGCTAGCTAGTACGATATAAGACTCCGTCTTTTCGCTGAGAAGGAGCCACTGTACTGATCAAAAACATAAAACTGAATAAACTGTGCACTAAAGTGTTTCGACAGGTTTATTAATTACTATCTGTAAAAAAATCACGAATTAGTTTGCTAAGAAATCGATCCAACCTTTTGCTTCCAATTCACAAGCGAATCCAAACTTGGAATCACAGTGTTCTGTGAACCACTGGCCATGATATATCGACACACATTTGCCTAATCCACTAGGTTCGCCTAAAATATCGACAACCGTTAAACAAATGGCCATAAACTCTCCAACGAAAACTGGTCTCCACCAATATAGTTAAGTCGATTTTACTTGGATGAAATGCGTCGTACTGATCTGGTGCTCCTTGGCAATCTGCCCAACTACAATTTTTCGCATTCGTATCGGGACATCTCAGACCAATCCAAATAAGATAATAATCAGCTTTTTCGGCTAGATCAGTGATCAGTGTATTAGTCTGAATCAAATATATATTAAATGAATAAGTCAAAACAATTTGGGACTAACAAAAGCATTGTGAATGGAAGCTAATTGACCACCATCGTTTGAACATTGAACTGAAGCGTCAAAATAAGAGCTGGGATTTGTGAAAACCTGAATAGGATCAAGATTGCAATTTCTAAATAACATGTAATCGTACCTTGTAGCATGAGTCCCCAATCCCACTAGAATAGCCAGATGGACAGCTGAGAGCATTCACTGAATTGAAATACTTCAGAAAATGAGGAGACACCACGCAAGTAAGAGCTCCATGGGTTTAGAGTGCGAGGAGACTTCACTTCTTTGTGAACTAAATTTTCATGTTCATATTAGAGAAGAACTGATTTGTCTTTAAAAATGAAGAAGAAAAGAAGGCTATTCTCGCCTGAAGTCATGTCTGGTAACCTTATCTTATATATAAAGCTGAATGTCTGTTTGTCTGTCTGTCTGTCTGTATGTACGTATGTTCCAAATAGAAAATTTTATTTCTGAACCGATCGGGACCAAACTTCGCACACATACACTTCGGGGCCGGGCGGTGTCGTAGGCTACTTTTCGTCATCGATCGATATCGATTTTATCGATTATCATCGATTTTTTTGCGGAGTTCACCTACGGGGCTGGGATTTGGCACAGGGGGGGGGGGGGGTAAGTGAGCATGGCGATTCCGAATACAACACAGGGAACGGAAAATGATCTGTAGAAATGGGCACAGGGAAAAGCTGTACAGGGATAGGGATGGGACCTTTAGTGTTTTGAAAGCTTCGAGCGGAGCCGAGTAGGCAAGCTAGTTTGTTATAAGATGTTATTCTTTTATTTCATTTCCTTGCATCAAACATCTATCTACTTTAACAATCATGGGCATTTGTCTTTTATTTATTTTTACGAAGAAACAAATATAATTTCCAGCCGCAGAAAACTGTTTTGTTCGTGAGCGAAGGTGAAGTTTGCGAAATGTTCAGAAATTCGAGATATTAGAAATTGATACAAGGCAAAGGAATCTCTAAAAAAAAAGACAACTCGTCTTTTCCGCTTCTCCGTCATATCATGGAAAACTTCTGTGAAATAGTGGAATTTTCAGCGAAATTTTTCATTGTACCTTTTCCGCAATTTGCGCAAAATATTTTAAGCGTTGAATTCGCATACACATGAAGCTGAATATGTGCCCGTATGTATCGGTTTGTACTCATGTTCCTTATAAATTTTTTTATTTCCAAACAGATTAGACCAAACTTGGCACACATACTCTTCGGGGTGGGGCGGATGTCATAGGGCCACTTATTATCGTTCGATTTCGATTATATCGGTTTTTGCAAAGTTTGACCCAAAGAGCTGGGAGTTGGTACAGGGGGGTAAATGAGCATGCTGGCTACGAATACAATATAAGTTTTCAAAAATATCGATTACTTGATTTTAGCGCTTTTTTGTAAAGTTTGAGTTGCGGGACTGGGAGTTGGCACAGGAACGGGGAATAAGTGAGCATTATTATGACGAATCTATAATAATATTAATTTGCAGGACACCCATCATAATTATCGATTTGGTAGAAGAGTCATAAAACTTATGCTATCGATTGTTTCTCAAGGAAGGTATTTGTCCCAAAGTGGCCTACCCCAGCAGGGTGTAAACCTTAGTGAGCGCCTTAAAATGCAGACTACGAATATACTTTCCTTATCTGCGATTCACCGAACAAGTTACAAGCATTTGTTTGCTCTCATGACTCTGAATGTGGTTACTGACTGCAGAACTAAAATAGCAGAGTAGCTTCAAAAATAATCAAAATTAATTTTTATGCACAATTAATATCAGGTTGTCCCATAAGTTCCGTCCGTTTTATTTTTCAATCGCGATAAATCATGAACTTCTTAATTCTGGAAGGGATCCAAGGTACCATTCGATAGAGCAAAGCAACATCTACACGATGACGCTCTTGCTTTTGCACCAGCTTCAATTCTTCATGCGTTTCAAGCCAAAAACCAAAAATATCCAATCGCCCGAAAAATAAAGAAAAAATCGTAACTCCTTCCAAACAAACCCCAGAAAATTCCTAGCTTGCTCACTGATACACTATCCACATCAGTCATTTATATATACTGTTGCTGAATTTTTTTATTGGCTAGAAATCAAGAAAACGAAAATTTTCATGTTTTGGCCAAAGTGATGCTATGCTGTCTCCACATTGCTAGTTGTATACTACAGACCAATATAAGTACAGACATGAATTTTTAGCGCTTTAAAGGCTTTAGTTCTCGAGAAATATTCGTTTTAATATGAAATACCCGACCGAGCGAAGCTAAATTCAATGCTTCTCGAAAACTAGAGCCTGTAGAGCGCTGAAAATTCATTTCTGTACTTATATTGGTCTGTAGTATACGACTACCGATGTGGGGACAGCAAAGCATCACTTTGGCCAAAACATGAGAATTTTCGTTTTCTTAATTTCTAGCCAAGAAAAAAATTCAGCAACAGTATATATAAATGTCTGATGTGGATAGTGTATCAGTGAGGAAGTTGGGAATTTTCTAGGATTTGTTCGGAAGGAGTAATGATTTTTTCTTTGTTTTTCGGGCAGTTGGATCTTTTTGGTTTTTGGCTCCAAAGTCGCGACGAATTGAAGCTGGTGCAAAAGCAAGTGCGCCGTCTTGTAGAGCTTGCTTTGCTCTACCGGATGATACCTTGGAACCCTTTTAGAATCAAGAAGTTCATGATTTATCGCGATTGAAAAATAAAACGGACGGAACTTATGGGACAACCTGATATATCCCAAGAATTCAGGCATTTATTCTTGGAGCGAACTTGCATTTAAGACGAACTCATATCATTAAAATGGTACCAACCATGCCATTCGGAAACGATAAAATGCCTCTAAATATGTTCAGTAAACCGATAAGCAGATATGTAAGATAGTTTTGAAACGAGCACTTGAAAACCTCTCAAATGATAAACGTCACATGATGAAATTCGCTTCTAGTCAAACATCTTTCCTTGTTAGGATTTCCAGCGTTTTTGGACTTTCACGGACTTACCTTAAATCGCCGAATCTCAAAAAAAAAATCTTTCTATCCAATTTTGTCAATGGAGAGCGGGGAGGGGGCAAACAAGAAGTCATCAAAAAGTGCATAATTTACTCTATTTTTTGACCACCTTACAGATTGGAAGATAGATACAGCAACAAGTTGCCGAAATTTTTTTCATCTTCAAAATTCATCATAAAAGCGCAAACCGTCTCAAGAATCAATAATATGTAAATATTGATCTATAGAATATGAGATTGTTCCGAAAGTTTTGCAGGCCACCACAGCACTAAGTAGCATAAGCAACCTTTCTATCTTCTTTCGTGCTTTGTGGGCACTTTAGAAAATTCCTCAGCTTCTTATTTTTATTATATTTGCTCGAAAATCCGCTAGTTTTTATTGAATTATCTATACCTGTGATGAATACAATTAGAGCAATCTGGGGTTTCACAATTGCTTTTGATTTCTTTTCATCTGTTCGACTGTCTTAAAAATATTTTGCGGCAAGGAAATAAGAGCTTCAAATCTTGGCGATTTAGAGCTAAACCATTGCTCGTCACTTAGGAAATAATAGTGAGGTGTGTAGTATATATATTATATAGGGAAGTATTAACATTTTTGATAAGTTTACCTTTTGTAGTTTTTTGCTACTGAGATAAATTTTTTTAGAATCAAGAACATTCTGCGATCAAAACTGCCAGGAGAAATGACGTTAACATTGTAAAAACTGCACATAGAAAGGGCTACGGCCATCTATGGGCTTTTCAAAGCCTGAAGTCAAGCTTTTGAACACCAACATGCGCCGTCGTTGTCGCAAAGACCATGGGCAAACACTAAGAGAGGGTTTTCGTCAACTTGTGTCCTTTTCAACATATATTACAGTATACGTTTTGTGAAAGTGAGTTGAAAAGCTGTTAAAGATGCAATACCACTCCCAGAGTGTGCAAAATTTCCGATGTCGCGGAATGTCGGGATTTTCGCGAAAGTCCCGGAATATCGCAAATTACGCAGCACCATAACTTCCGGGAATGAGTATATTCTGAATCCAAAAGCAGCATTGTGCTCAGCTCATCAAGGCGAACCTTTTGATATACAGCATGTCTTTGATATTTCGATTTCTGTACTCTCAGTACTTTCTGCGGACTTCTCTTTGCAAAGGCGTAAAGCAGCGCGAATTGCTCCTAGTAGAATCCAGCAGGAGCCTTTCGATAGTACATCTTCAGTAGATCATGGGGCGTCAGGAATTGGCCGCACACTTCTTTTCAAAGGAATTTGGGCTTGTGAATTTTGAAAAAATCATGTCGTTCTAAATTTTACCATATACCTAAAATAAAAGACTCTGTTGCCAAGCAAATGTGATTTTCGTAATCAGGAGGTTGGATAGCCTCTATAAGCAAGTTTTTCAAGATATTCGAGGGATTTCATTTTTTCTAGTTTTACGCTCTCAAGGTCGCCGATGGATTTTGGTCAAAATGTTCATGAGAATTGTAAGGAAACTCGCTTATAAAGGTTTCCGGACACGCTCATACGTAAATCGTGTTGTTTGAGGAGTATAGGGTCTTTTTGCAGAGATACGGTGAGGTAACCGTAACTGAGTTACGAAAGTGCGTGATTTTGCCTGCACTTCTCGCGTATCTGTCAGAAAACTTGCCCGCTTGCTTTTATAGGTTAAATTTACTGAGGACTGTCCCATTCCCATCCTATCGAATGGCGCATGTCTCAAACTCCATTCTACAGAAATCGCCCATTTACGAGCACACAAAAACAGGTCCTCAAGAAATTTGCACAAAATGAGATAGCGTAATTCGTCGAAATTCCACCTTGAGTGGTTGTCTATTTGCAGATTCCTGGCGCCCCATGATCTAACAAGGGAAGGATCATTAGTCGAAGTGGGGTTTCCATACGTGATGCATATCATTCTGCTGGTCTTGGGACACTGATAGTAAATCCGTGTTGATGCTCAGTGATCTTCTGGGAGTTATGGGCGATGGTTCCCCAGGATAACCACTTCACACTATAAGCCTTGGGCGCCAAGGAGTTTACAGGTGTGCAGGAATGGCCAGATATAGCTGCGAAGATTATGGAGCAGGTGGTGAAGAGTTCGCACTTTCCTATGTAGCCAAAACTCATGCATTTTTGCAAATTGTTTTTTTATTTCGCTGAAAAGCTGAATTTTCGCTAAATTTATAAAAAAAATAATTT